AAGAATATATATACTTTATGGGGTCTGCGATGATTCCTTCTGCCTGTTACATACTTTTTCACAAAAACAATATACCCTGATTTCCCATTTTCATTGGGTTCAGGGTATAAGAATCCATCTATTAAATGACTAAAATTGTTATTAATTTCTCAACCAATTCATCGAATCGACTCATTTGAATCGAAATCGAAATCTCTTGAGCCTTAAGCCTTTTTGGGGACGCGTTATCTATGTAGTTCGTTTATTGAACCTATCAATTTGGACTCACATTTTTCCACTGTGTTTCTGATATCATTTACCGTTGGATTCGTCACGGTCTTCACTTTACACTTGAGTAGTGTGCCAAAGGTTTTCTCCAACGATTCGACATCCTTGGCGCTTCCCGAACGGAACTCATTGCTGTTGTCGAAACGCTCATTGTTGAAAATGATAACCTCTGCAGGCTTCAGTTTTTTCTTCGGAACCGGCTTGACTTTAGGTATTGGGCCATACCCGGACTTTGTTGGATTCATTTCCCCATGGGCATCCAAGGTGCTTGTAGTGCTTAGGGATGATTTAAGCGCGCCTCCTTTAATTGGATTAAGGCTTATGAAAGGCTTTCCAACTGTTGTTTTTGGGGTCGACAGTGTGGACTTTGTACCAAGAACAGCGCTGCTTGTGGTAGGCTTCGACATCACGGAGCTCGCCGATGAATGTTTCGGGAGCACAAGGCTAGTTGTTGTGGGCCTGGACGAAAAAGAACTGCTACCCGAAGTCTTGGGCAGCGCTGACGGCGTAACTACCGAGGGCTTAGAAAAAGCAGAGCCGATTCCAGTGGTCGTCTTTGATGCATACGGCGATACATAGGTTGAATCGATTGGCTTCAGCGCGAATGGCGACACATAAGGCTTGTATGCAGACGAGCTGGCACTAGAAGTTGAGGCAGTCGTCTTGGGCGGCCAGCTAGTCTTGCTGCTGGGGCTCAGCACCACCCGGTGGGTTTCCACATGCTGAGTGACAGTGCGTCCCTTCTTCTGCGACACAGATGTTTGCTCCGACTTGACCAGAGTGCTGGATCTCCTGGCCTCCGCATTGGGCTTGAACGAAGTGGTCGAACGCAAAGCCACACCATTCAGACTAGTTGGACTAACGCGTTTGTTGCTGCTGCTTGTCGTTGTGGAGGTCGAGGAGCTACCAGCCCGGCTGCCCGTCCTCAGCTGTGCCATCAACTCCTCCAGTTCGGCAGGGCTCGGCGTGCGGCGCGTTATCATTTCCGTCACACACGCTTTCTGGCTGTGAGTCACTGTCTGTGTGGTCGACCGGTACGTTACTGTATTTGCGTTGCTATCAATGATCGTGGAGCTCTGCACAGCCGTGTTGGTCGTCACGCTGGCAGCGCTCTTCGTCTGCACCCGAGTGCGTGGATCCTGCCGCGCCAGGGCCTGGTCGTTATTGGAATCCGAGCTGGCGCTATCATCGGTGGACTTCTTTTTGCTAAATAAGCCCATTGCCACCTTCTCGCTTTCGCTCACAAACCTTTTGGTATCGTACTGACTCCGCGCCACTCTCCCTCTCACTCTGGCGCTCTCTACTTAACTCTTTTTCTTTTTTCTTTTCTTAATCGCAATGCGCGTGACGCGTTCTGTACTCGTTGCCGTTCTGAGAGAAACTGAACGCCAAACAAGCTTTTGCACCGATAGCGCAGCTTTGTTTAATAAGTTTCGTTGAGTTTATTCACCTACGTCGTGGGCCGCAGAGGAGTGTAAAGGGTGCATCTAAAATATCCCCATAACAGCTGGGCCGATTATTAATCACACGCAGAGCGTTATCAATGGGAGAATGGGAAAGTTTCCTCGCCTACGGGCATCCCATACCTCACCAAATCCAAAATCTGTAAAATATGAATAAATAAAGTACATATAGGACTGTTCTTACAGTTTTTATCCACTGACCCAATAAAAGAAAGCTTAATAAATGAACTGATTATATGAATTCCTCAATCATAATTTATTATAAAGACAAGTACGCACATTTGGCAATCGGCATATAAACCGGCTTCCGGGTTATACGAACATATAAGTTATATGTCATTGGGCTAGTCAAAAGGCAAAAGCTCCCTCAACATGGTGGAAGTGCTTTAAGCGATAAACGCTTGCGCATGAAAGTTTTTGCTACGTAGATACATACATATATATGTATGTATGCATCTGTGCATACATACATGTCTGTATATGGACATACACTGCTGTTTCAAATGACTTGTTGGACACTTCCCATAGCAATCTCATTAAATAAAATAAAAAAATTTGAAGACGTGCATTAAACCAGCATATGTATATAAATACATCTGGACCTACATACATATATACATATATGAATTTGGGGGCTCTCTTTGTTTATTGTTTGTCATTGTCTCCATTGCTCGCCCAACGACAACAACACGAAATCAAATTTCCAAGAACATCCATGATACGCGCGCGCGTAATAAATAATAATAATATAAAAAAAGTTCAAAAGCACCGTAAACAAACAAAAAACCTAATTTGCAGCTTTGTCGTTTTTTTTTTGCGTCACTCTTCCTTCTCTCTCAACCTACATACATGTACATATGTATGTACATTTCTCTCTCGAGATCAGCATATTCATGCACAGGTAGCCTATCAACACCTGTGCCCTAAACAGTTTACGTTTACAGGTGACGTAAGCAGCGGACAACTTTCATTGAGATAATTTTAGATGAGTAACGAGTGCAATCGCGCCTGATAAAAGAATTCCATCCGGCAAATACACAATCGCCATGCAGAGAGCCGTTAAAGCTAATCAAGGTCATCTTTAATGCCATAAACCGCCAAAGTTCCCACAAAGTCTACGAGCCGTAAAGGAAAAATAAAAATATCTTTATTGATGGATTGACTGATTGAGTTATTCCTGCATTGATAAGAGATTCGCCTAGCACCTACTGCTGTACAGTAAGTCAATGGAAGATGCCTGGCGACAGCTAGATTATATCTTGCACATGCTCAGATAAAATCTTCAAAAGCATATTTAGTAGTCATTGTACTAGTTGTCAACGGTACTGGGCAATCGCTGTAATAGAGACAAAATCCATTAGCACTCAGAAAGGCGTGATTCCATAGGCTAATTAGACTCACTGGATAGAGTCCATAACACCCTGTGTGACTTCGCTTACAATACTCTCAATATCAACATTCGGATTGGACCTTAGCGCATTACAGAGCTCACGAATAAAGGGCGTACCAATGGGATTCCGATAGGACTCATAGTCGCAATAGCACTTTAATACGTCGCGGAGGATTATAGTTGCTCTATCAATGGCACTCATACTACTTTAACTGACAGCGACCGTTGCATTGGAAAGATTGTGATATTACATTTGAGTCTACCAAAAGTTGTCATCAAATGCCCGATGTCGTCGATGCTGCCAGAATGGAACTTGTTGTCATTGTCAAGGCGCGAATTATTGAAGATGACAACCTCTGCGGGCTCCAGCGTTTTCTGATCGGCTTTGGGTATTAGGTGACTTGCCGCATGTATCTGGATGGAACTTTCTTGGCTTTGTTGAAAATATTTGGGTACGGCACCAGTCCTAGGATTATGGCTTGCAAAGGGCTTTGCATCGGTGGTCCTTTCGACCGTGTCATGGGGGGATGTCCTTGGCTTTCGGGCATAGGCATTTGAAAAAACTCGACTCTAGCTTCGCCCGACTGACTGGGATTCACCATCAGAAAAGCGTCGCTATCAATTGTCGCCGAGTTCTATCGCCCCATACGGTGTAGGCTTTATCAAAGGTTATCTTATTTCTAGAAACCATTTTATTATTCCTTCTGTACCCGTTTCATGCTCTTTTCTCGCCCGTTCTCAAGTGCACTTGAGGCTATGCCTTCCAGTCACGAAGACGTTCCTGAAGAAACTGACTGGGCGAGCAAGCTTTTGCAGAGTGGAGGAGCTTTGTGCGTTAACTTTCGTTGAGTTTTATTCAATTCTTGCTCTCTTGTGCAACGGCGACTGCAGCTGTGGAGGGTCTGTACATGGTAAATGCCTTCTGTGCAGGTATGCCAGATCATTACTCATACTTATTGTCATCAGAGAGCAGAGAAATGCCCGGGTACGGGAAAACCAATACTGATACATACATTTTATGCATGTAAATATATACATAAATAAATGATACTGTTATTTTTGTATTGATTGAATGAATGAACGTATTCAATGTCCATATTACTAAATCTCATTAGTTCGGACGAACGTGCGTTAATTAATTTGATTAACATACGTACGTACGTAAAATTATTAGGTCGTCTATTATGAAAAATATGTATGTATGTAGTATGTATGTATATATTCATATAAAAGTATACAAACGTATCCGTACATCTGAGTTAGTTAGGTAAAATCATATGGGTTGAAGTTGGCATTTATATTATTAGCCTTTTAAATATGCGAGAGCTTTCGAGATACGCGCGCATATTAATAACAAGAAAAAACAGATCAAAAGCTCTTTTCAGAAACAGAATGCGTGTGGTAGCTTTAACGCTCTTTACATTTTTCTTAAAAAGCTCTCGCATTCTCTTTCCGTCTAGCTCTCCCTCTTCCTATCACTCACACACACAGACTCTCTCTCTCTCTCTCACTCTCTCTCTCTCACTCTCTCTCTCTCTCTCTCTCTCTCTCTCTCTCTCTCTCTCTCTCTCTCTCTCTCTGTCGCTCTAGGTGTTTAGCTGCAGTGCGCCTCGTTCTTAGCTGTGTTTATTGATTTTCAGTTGCCGGCGTCTTGATATGCACTCAGAAGTACACAAACTTACTAATACACATGCAAGGCGAAGCTATCGTCCACAGCACTACGATGTTGGTGAATCGTTTTAGAAATTTCAGTGCACTGCCAAGCGTAGCATCGTGCGGTACATTATTGTCAACAATTGTGTCCTAAACAAGTAACGGTTACAGGTAGCGTAAACAGCTGACAAGTGTTTCAGGGAAAACGTCGCGGCAACAAAAATTTCTTGCCGGTATTGGGAGAGAATTTCCTGATGCCAAACGAGTGCAGCTATTCTGGACGATAAGATAACTCCAACGGGCTTGCAAAGCGCAATCGGCTTATCACCGGCTAATGCAGACTCGCCATGCAGATAACCTTTGAAATCCATCAAGGCCACGTTTAATGGCCCAAGCCGCCAAAGTTCCCATTAAGTCCATACAATATAAATGTGCTGAATTGGCAAATAATGCGACGCTGTCATAAATAATGAAAAGTTAAACGAGCAAAAAAAACATATTAATACATTGATTGATCGATCGATTGATTGATTCATTCCTTGGCGGTGTTCCGTTAAAAGATCTGTAAAGCAGCTACTGGTATAGATTACGTCAATCGAAGATGCCGTGAAACGTTAAAAGCCCAAGTGATGCATGCTTACAAATAGCCACTGTATCAACATGCAACAATTTGTATCAATTGGCAACAATTGCATGCGCCTTAACAGACATGCATCTTAAACAAGCATAGATAGATCAGATCTCAGACCGGATTCCCGATCAAACAAGAATATATTCCAGTAATTGCTCTGGCGCCAAGAATATAAGTAAATTAATAAATATATGTATGTATGTATTTATAACTTAATAGAAATGCTTGTTACTGACCACTGGATCATGAAAATAATATTTTTATAATCTTTTTAAATTCATGAATGCATTTTTAAATTATTATGATATATATTTAAACTAAAGAGTTTACAGAAAACAATTAAAAGTAGTATTATGAACTTTAATTAACTAATTGCAAGTTTCAAGACATAAACCAGATATTCAGATAAGAAAAGCGAAGTACTGAATAAATACATAATGCTGGCGATTTGACGATTTAAAATGCCATAATTTGTATACATATTAACATTTGCTAAGTTAGCACTAAAATCAATTCACATCAAATATCAACAATACGAATACGCAATAAGAGACTAGATGTTCCAATAAGAAGAGGAAAAAGAGAGCCTTTTGCTTGTGCGGCGACGTCATACGCTCAGCTGGGGATGCCCATCAAGCACTCACTCACCTACACGCACACACACGCTCGCCTATAAACTCTCTCTCTCTCTCTCTCTCTCTCTCTTTCTCTTTCTCTTTCTGTCCCTTTGTAAACGTGCATTAGACAGTCAGTGCAGTGCACTTGCTAGTGTTGCCAGCCACATTACAGAGATATCCAGTTTTGACTTAATGCCGTTTCTCTCACCATTGCATTGCAATTCATTTCACGTCCGAAGGGCAATTGGTTAGTTTTTGTTTTTTGTACACAATACAGATTCCTCAACGTTCTCTCATTACTGAGTTCATCACTAGAGCCAAAAAACACTTCACGCTGTTTCTATATTTATTTAAGTGAAGAGTGAAATACGGGACAGACGCACACGTGACCGTCGGCGGCGAATCACGAAAGTAACTGGATTTCTTTTTCGCACAAGTTACGTTAAACTCTACAAAAGTACGTTGGCCAATTCAAAAAATCGACAAACATCGACATCAGATTGAGAATGGCACAATCAGACGCTGCGATGGACTTCGACGAGATACTCAGCCAAATTGGCGAGTTTGGACGGTACCAGAGAGTGAACTATTTGCTCATCTGTCTGCCGGTGCTCTTTGCGGCCGCGAACAGTCTGTCGTATGTATTTACGGCCGGCACGCCGAAGTACCGCTGCCGCATCGAGGAATGTGAGGTGAACAGACAGCCGTATTACCAGACCGATTGGCTGGACGTGGCCATTCCGGGCTCAAGGGACAAGCACGGCTATTTCACGCCCACAGACCCATGTGTGCGCTTTGCGGCAAACGATAGCCTCCTCCACCAGTGGGACACATGCAACGCCTCATGGTTTCTGCCCCAGCAGACGGAACGCTGCCAGCAGTTCGTCTATGACACTGGCGAGTACACCATTGTCCAGGACTGGCAGCTAACGTGCAAGGAGAACGCCTGGAAGCTGGCCTTCGTCGGCACCACCCACTTCGCCGGGCTGGTGATCGGCACCGCCCTCTTTGGCTATCTTGCCGATCGGTGAGTCATGGCTAGGGACCTTCCCGCTACATTATTACTATTACTACTATTATTAGTTAACCCCACTCCCGTTGCACACATTTGATTTCTTACAGATTCGGACGGAAGCTGATCTTTCTCTTCTGCACCATTTTTATGGGCTTGACGGGCATCGGACAGGCGCTGGCCTGGGACTATTCCAGCTTCCTGGTCTTCGCCTTGCTCAATGCAGTGGGCACATCCGGTGTCTATCCGCTGGCCTTCATCATAGGCGTGGAAATGGTGGGGCCACGCAAACGCGAAATGACCTCCATTGTACTCAACTATTTCTATGCGGTGGGCGAGGCGCTCCTGGGCCTCGCCGCCTGGTTGCTGTCCAATTGGCAGATTCTGCAATATGCGCTCTCTGTGCCGCCGCTATTCTTCGTCGTTTACTTCTGGTTGGTGCCGGAGTCGGTGCGCTGGCTGCTGGCGCGCAACGAGCACGTCAAGGCGGGCAACATCATCAGGCGGGCGGCGCACGTTAATCAGCGCGAGCTCTCCCTGGAGCTGATGGCCAGCTTGAAGCAACAGCAGCTGGATGCCGCGGACAACAACTCCGATAAGCAGGAGCGATTGCAGGTGCAGCAAAAGCAACGCGAGATCTGGCCATCCGTGAAGCAGGTGTTTAGCTCCAGAAAGCTGATTGGACGCTACGTTATCCTGCTGTTCATATGGTATTGTCTATTCCTATCAGATGCCAGCTATCCCTCTAATCACACATGCATTCCCTAGGGCTGTCAATGCCATTGTCTTCTATGGGCTCTCGCTGAACTCGACCAACCTCAGTGGCAACAAATATTTGAATTTCGCACTGGTCTGCCTGATCGAGATACCCGGCTATAGCTTGGCCTGGGTACGTTATGATTGTGTTATACTATGTGCAAACATATGTATGCCGTATATACATACATACGTACCTATTTATATATTTTCGGTCTTTCTTGAATTGTCGCACCCAAAATAGTTGTGCCTGCGTAAACTCGGACGTCGTCTGGCGTTGTCCGGCTCGCTGCTGCTGTGCGCCGTCACGTGCGCAGCCAGCGGCTATCTGACAACAGGTATGTTACCGATATATATGTACATATACATATACATATACATATACTTATAATAATATATATATTTATCCTAACGCTCCTAACATGCCTCCTGCACAGTCTGTGACGATAAACAGAAACGTAAAGAAACCCTTGAAAATGTCTAATTTAAACAGCGAAACCGCTATGAACAAATAATTCTAATTGACTTTTACAAATCTTTCAAATATTTGGATTAGATCATTTTAAACAATTTCGAAATCGGAGATTTATTTGTTCAAAATAGTTTTGACTGTGTTTCAAATACTTAATATTTGATTTGACTACATACATATCTATTTAGCTTTACCCACATAACAAATGCGCTTCATCGATTTTCATACTTACATACATCTTGATCCACAGGTGCCAATTGGCTGATCGTAACGCTCTTTTTGACGGGTAAACTGGGCATTACCTCGTCGTTTGCCGTCATTTACACGTATACGGCGGAAATGATGCCTACGGTTAGAAATGATCAATATTCAGATACTTATGGCTCAGCTGATCATTTTTTCCTTTCATTCTCTTTCAGGTCATACGCAGCGGAGGAGTCGGAGTAATGTCCACTTTTGCACGTTTCGGTGCCATGCTGGCGCCCTTTGTGCCCTTGCTGGTTTGTGTTCAACTATGCTATCGAAAAATCGTATTGCAATTAAATACTGACTACTATTACCTATTTTAGGGAAGCTACTACGAGCCGTTGCCCTTGCTATTATTCGGGGCAATTTCAATGGTGGCAGGCCTTTTGTCGTTGCTGCTGCCAGAAACCTTTCACAAGAAGCTGCCCGACACGGTGAGTCACGCAATGTTATCTTTCTCTATATGGAACCTATGCTCATACATGTTTCTCTATAGGTTGCCGAGGCGATTGCCTTGGGCAGCAAGACTCGTGCTCTGAACGTAAACGACCATTGCACATCCTCCAACGGACAACATGAGTCCATAATTGGATGAGGCGTACCCTGCAGACAATATTTTCCCATTTAGTACAAAGCACTAGTAGAAGCATTAGACTTGTTAGTTATTTTTATGTAGCACTTGAATTTTTTTTAGTACGTACGTACATATGAATCTTAGATATTAGTAAGTGCCTTTATAATTTGCTTTACAATACTCGATGTTCGTTGACGAGCAAATCGTTTAATTTTTTGCTATGTAGCTCAAGTTATTATTTTTTAAAATTGTAAACTATATTAAATTTTTTGTATGTACACATTTTTATAATCGAAACGGAAAAATAATCATTTACACACGATTCGCATCATTGTCCAAAGAGACCCTCGAATAGAAGAGGGTCTGTTACAACTCCAAAACGATGCAGCAGCTTGTAGCGCTGCTTCTCATCGGTTCGCAGGCAGATGGGCTGATAGAAGCCTAAACGTCGCTTGCTCTTTGGCTCCCAATCTGGCAGCAAATCCTCGATATCGACGAGCGATTCTTTGCGTCGTCCCCAGAAGTCTACGTAGGCAAGCTTCAACTGATCCTCCTGATTGTTGATGTAGATGAAGCCGATCATGTTTGAGGTCACATAGCTGCCCAGCGAGAGTGTCATCAGACCGGAGACGCCGATGGCTGCATAAATACCTAACGCCTCGCCCGAGACTTGACCCCCATGTTGCAAAGCAAGAATGAGCGGTGTTCCAGCCGCAATTACAACTGCCTGATAGACTTTAAGGCGGTTGAATGCAGCTACTAGTCGAATTAAGGGTAACCGATATATGGGTCGCCAATCAGTGAAGGCAGCTCCCAAAGGCGAGGATCCCCCGGCAATTGTTGTTGTTGACGTTGGATTTTGTTTTGTTGCATAGTGTCGGCTTTTGACCATACAATATGACACGGGGAATTTCAGGAATTGTGCACTATACAAGCGTTGCAGCACTGCAAAACATGAATTCTATATTATTACATAGTTAAATTTTATATTTTTGTTTATATAAAAATAAAAACTCACTTGTTGTGGGGCTGTTAGATGAACGCTATTGCTCGCTGTTAAGCTCACGCACATTGGTGCTGCTACACTCAATTTGGCGCTGTTAACATAATATTAAAAATAGTTATCGATATGTTTACACGAAGCAACTGGTTACACGACTGTTCAATTTCCAAATATAACTGTCACCATATATGAAAAGTTCAAAAGTAGAAAGAAATGGTTGGCTAACAAAGCGTAGCTTAAAGTAGTTAAGCAGTGAATCTCTTAGCTGAGCTTTTGAGAGCCCATACATAAGCTACGTGATACGTGGAATTTTTTACAAAAAGAGTATACACTGAGCACTGAGCATTGTTTAATAATAGATCCGATGATGAGCGACACAGCCCAGAGCGTTCAAAACTATTATTCCTCAGTACGAGTCGACAACGGCGCATAGCTCGTTGCTTCAACGATCGCGTGGGCGCGGATCTCTCTTGGTCAGTTACAGCATACAAATTTACATAGTATGTACTTTGCTAAAGTTATAGATTTTATTAATAATAATAAAGTATGCTGATCGAAAGTTTTTAACCACTGTGAAAAGGGATTTTTTAACGTACAGCCAATTAGCGTCTAATGCGCAAAAGGAAGCTACGAATATAAACGAATTGAAATATAATAAATGAACAACCAAACAGAAGATTAAATAACACTTCAACTAATCAATGTTTTAAGCAAACCACAATAGATTGATGTTTCGTGACAATTTGTTATTTCGTTCGATGTGTCTAACAAGCTGCAAATATTTTTAGCACGATTTTGGCGTGCTGCTGAATTGAAAATACTTTTCAAAATCTATGTATGTGAGCGTAATTACACTTACAAAAATTTCTCACAAGTGCAGTCTATTATATATTTGAATATGCCGAAAAAACGAAACAAATTAAAAAATAGGCACAATGAAAAAAACTGAAAATTTATATATACATTTGGGTTTAATTTTGAGAAAACGAATTAATTTGGATTGTTAAAATGATTTCAATGATAATCCATTTGTTCCTTACAGTAAAGCCAACTTGATATGACATTTTAAATATATAAATTTTAAATAAAATAAAAATAATTTGTATAATAGAAATAAAAACAGAAATTGCAACAAAACAAATAAATACATGTGAAGTAAAAACAATGAACAATAAACAAAAAGCAAGTATGTTTCAGTCGGGTGTTACCGGCTGCAAAATACTCCAATCGGTATACACATATTCATATGCAAATCAATATCTCAATATCAATTTAGATATCAGCAATTTAGTCGCTAATTTTTGAGTTTCTAGCTCTAATAGATAGATAGACAGATCGATGGAGTAGGAGGTTTTCAGTATCAATTATCTCAATCAACTGTATGAGATATAACCTTTTGTGGGTTTGCCACACCCCCTGGGCGTAGATTTATACATTATAGCTTTTTAGTCTTGGGTGGTCAAATGGGTACCAAATGTCAGACCCATACAGCTCAACACATATCAGAACTTAAAATATCGCTATGTGCTCAGGACCGAGAAGACGTGGACATATAATTTTTGCATCAATCTTTATAAAATTATAACATGAACTCAGCTTTAAAACCTAAGATAGTTTTACACGGTTTAACACGCCGCCAATGGAGGACTAACTAACAAGATTTCTGCCACACCGGAAAGCGCATTTTCCAATTTTCCTAGTGGAAGCCGCCAGAGGGACGGGCGGCTAAATAAATGAATAGTAATATCTAACTCTAATAATTCTCGTTTTTAGAAAGAGTTTAGGCAGCATGTCGCTGACATCGCTGGGCATAAGCGCCGGCTTCATGGTCGGCTGTTGCACTGCAGCACAGATTGCGCGTCGAGTGAGTCAGCGCCTGCTTAGCCAGGACGGTCTTGTGCCAGTGCTGATGAACGAGGCGATCGCCGCGGCGGAGCTGTGCGCCTGCTGCTTTGAGCTGATCATTGGTAAGTGGTGTGGAGCACTCGGAAATAAATACGTGATTCATTGATTTGGCTGTCAGTGGCTGACAATTTTGGCGTGGCCACCTATGCCATTTTTCTTTTTCTACTCACCATCTGGTGGGGCAAGGTGTGGGGCGACGCCTCCGCCTGCCCGTACACTCACATGGAGGATGTGCTGGAGGGACGCACCAGTTTTAAGGAAATGGCGCTGCGCACCTGGGCGGAGCTAATGGGCGGCTGCTGTGTGTATCGCATTGTGCAGGTCTTCTGGTGGCTGGAGTTCGCCGAAACGCACAAGGGACGCGCCTTCGAGGAGTGCAATGCCGACCTGCAGGTTAGTCCCTATGTGGGTGCTGCCATTGAGGGCGTGGCCACGTTGCTGTGCCGCCTCGCATCGAAGACAATCAGCGTGCAGGAGCCGAAGTTTAGTAGTTACATTGACTCCTTCATCGGAACCAGCCTTGTGGTGGCAGGTAAGTGCCCGCCCGCTTGCAAAGTGGCTTCCAGTTGCCGCCATGTCCTCTCAAAAAGTTTACGCTTTTAATTATGCCCTGCTTGCAGCCTTTAACTTCTCCGGCGGCTACTTCAACCCGGTGCTGGCCACGGCACTTAAATGGGGTTGCCGAGGCCACAGTAATCTGGAGCACATCATCGTATATTGGATTGGCGCCTGCATAGGCGCACTGCTGTCAGTACCCATTTTCAAGCTCCGTGTAGTGCGGCGCTTGCTGCTAGGCGAGGAGAAGGAAAAGCAGGCCTAACTGTGACCCATTTCTAGTGATAGGGAACCGCATACTTTTTGCTTATGCACAACTGTCAAGAGTTTTAAAATGATTGATTTTAATTGTGTTTAATCTCTGCTCAGTGGTTTAATCTTGTTATTGATAATTATAGTAAAAATGTACACGATATTTTTGTTAGCTCAAAACTTACCAAAGAATTGTTTTTATAATCCATCAAGAAATTTGAAGAGGTCGAACAGCACACAATTGTTTGTATTTTGCTATCGATAATTTGCGCCCAAAATGTACTCATGTATGTATGTAGATACAAATTCTCAAGTACGATAGCACGATTTATCGAATTTTAAATTTCAAAATGTTAGTTTTATTTTTATTTACATTACAATGGGTAGATAAATGACATAGCGAAAAAATGCAAATATTCAGTGTGTAATATAATAAAATACTATTGCATTGTTTGATTGAAAAATATTTTTGTACCGCAGTTATCAATTAACATTATTATTTTATACAAATTTATATACATTTTGTTAGCTAGTTCATCAATTAAAACATTATTTATTGTCTAAAATCACAAGCTTTATCAATCATATATAAATTATTACGCTACGTTTCTCCTGTATTTACGTAGGCATTTATGTATTTTTATCCATAGCTTAAGTAAGTATATAGCCAGATATCTTACTGATGTGAACAGTTCAATATGTGTATATGTAGGACTTATTTATCGTCGATTATAGCTATTTCTGCTGCTGGACGGCGGCGTCGACGTCGTGTCACACGGAGTACTACCTCATCGTTGAGCCGCTCGAACTGATAGTCGCTATTGCCTAACGAGCAGCGTTTGGTCACCAGGAGTGAGTCGCTGCTGTTGAGGCTCTGACTCTGGTCCAAGCTGCTGGCATAGCAGGTTTCATCGATGGTCACATTCAGCTCCGAGGGCTTCGCTGTCGTTGCTACCTCTGGTGGTGTTGGCGGTATAGAAGGATCGTCACTATTAATTATGTGCTCGTTGCGTAGATCTGTGGTGCGTTTCTTCAGCGGCGTGTGCTCACGTCGATCTGGTGTGAGACTTTCTACATTTTCGCTACTTGGCGATTTCCGTTTTCTGATCGTTCGTTCTACAATTTGTTTTATTCCTTTATTTGGTTTTATCGGGCTGTGCTCCGCCGTCTGTTGCATTGGAGATTGCATAAGGATTTGAATGAGATCCTGCTTGGGTGTTTGTCCACCCTTCATCGAGGTGGACGTGACAGCCGTTTCGTCCGGTTGGTCCTCGCTTTGACACGGCGCCTGATGCAGCTGCTTCAGTGCTATCTCGATGGTGTCCGCTTCTAGGCTCAAATTCGGATAGCTTTCCTGCGGCTTAACCGGTATTAGCTCATTCATTGCCGCTTCGAGTGTAGCATCGTCTTCACTGTGGTCTATCTTTGTAGAGTCCGGCTGGGCGTACATGACAGTGGCCGCCTCAACTGCTAGCTTCGGTGTAATTGGCCTGTTGACAGTAACAACAGTTGCCGACTTGCTATCATTCTGATTGACAGCCATAATCTCCAGCTGCGATTTTTCCGATTCAGACGTTGTCGGCGCTGCTTCTCTCATATTTGAGTTTAGGTCTTCTGTATGGGTCTGCTTCTCGTTCGAGCCATCCACTTTGTCGGCAATGTTCTCAATGTCCATCTTGATGGGCAGGCGAATGTCCTCAATGATTTGGATGCTCTCCATGCTGCGCCCAGGCCGCTTGGGCGTCTTTAAATTCTCCTCGGCCAGCCGCGCGTAAGCCAATTGACAAGGATTTGGCTCCTGGCTCATAGTGGACCCGTTTACTGTAGTCTCCATATTTTGTCGTCTCTCCGGATGACAGATATCTATTGCTTGTTCACAATTGTTGTCTTTGTCACAATTTGTTGTGTTTGTTTTAATAGCTTCAGTTTTATCTGTCACAAAGGATTCATTTGCATCGCTTTTCAATTGCTCGGCAGTTACACAATATTGTTTATCGGCTTCCTCTGACTCCACATCGAGTTTAGCTATAAAACTATTTCCAATTTTCTGATTATCATCGTTCTCTGCAGTTATTTTATTGTCTGTTGCTTCATTTGTCAGCTCGTCAACACCTAATATCAGATCCGGCATTTCTTCGTCTTTTGAGAAATCTGTTTCCCCTGAAGCGTCCCTATCGGATGTGCTTTTACGCTTTTCTTCATCCTCTAGTTTTGAACCTCCCTTTACTCCATCCAGGTCCTGTTCAATTTTCAAATCAGAGTGTGAGACTAGATTGGCAACTGGTTCTGCTCTATTTACAGTATCCACCTCTTCTGCTAACTTCCTTTCAAGTCCACTTTCTAACTTTGTTTTTCCATGTTTTTTCTTCTTCTTTTTTACTCTTTCGATTTTTGGGGAATTTAAGTCCGGTATGAAGGGTTGGGCATTCGCAGCCTCTGCTATCGAACTTCCATCTTCAACTGAAATTCCATGAGGTTTCGTATACATATTTTTCACTGCAACCTCTTCAGAATTTAAGTCCTGTGCGTCATTCGCGTCTGTTAAGTTTGCCTGATCGCCTAAGCCCGAGCCGGAAGCGTGATTGTGTTCATTTGCATCAATTACTTCCATCATTTCAGCCTCCTTCGAATTCAAACTAATAAGTTTACTTGCTTGTGCTTTATCCATTTCATTCAAGTTTTTCTTGCCATTAATTAAGTCCAAGTCGGGAATGTGATCGTTGCCCACGGCATTATCAGTATCGAATACTCTTTTCTGCTCTCCGGTTCTGATGTCAATGGCATTATTTGCATCGGATTCTCGTTCCTGCTCTCTGGCTATGAAATCCAAGCCTGGTATGCGCTGATGGTTAAATGCATCATTCACTATTATATCATCCAGCCCTTTTTCACTATTTGGCTTTTCTATTACAACCTTGATTTCGGCTATCGATTCATTTTGTCGGGATGTTTTGATTTTCGCTTCATTTTCGGCATGTTCTCTCGCATTTTTATTTGATTCGTTGTCTGTTTCATTTACTAATTCCACCGTGCTCATTTTAGATTCTGCAGAGGTTTCCAGTTTAGACTGCTCTACATTTACTAGGGTATGTTGTCTTGGCACCTGTTTGTTTATTATTATCTCAGCTTCGCCCCGAGTCTCATTTCTTACATCTTTTTGGGATATTTGCTTTATCTTCTCAACATTCCTCTCGAAATAGTTATTAATGTCTTCCGCTAACAGTTGCCTTTCTTTTCCAATTAGCTCATGAGTTTGTTGCTCTTCCTTGGCTTCAATTTGGCTTTGTGGGGTGTATTGCTCTATTGGTGTATAAGGATCCACATTGGCTAATAGATTTTCCATCACTTTTTGGCTGTCTACGCAGCGCTTGCCATCCTTTGACGGACTCTTTTGTGTGGGCGTGCTGCCAAAGAGTGTATCCATCATATCTTCCTTGTTACGCTTACTTTGGGCTGTGCACTTAGCATTGGGTCCTTTCTCGGTTTCTCGGGAGCTGTTACGTTTACTTTAAGTAGGATAGGTGTCTTTAGAAACAGGTAAATATTGCCATGTAATCTGTTATTTGAAATTATTCAGCTTACCTGTTCTTGCTGCTTGTCTGGTTAAACGAACGCGAGCCCGAACGTGAACGATATTGTGATCGTGATCGTGATCGTTTTCTTCTTTGATCCTTGCTTCGAGAACTCTGTCTCTGACTACGGCTTTTAGCATGCTCTCGACTGTGACTACGACTACGACTGCGGCTGCGACTGCGACGTCGACTCCTGCCTCGTGCGTGATCTCGATCTCGACGTCTTTCTTGCTGCTTTTCACGATCTCTGTCATGTGTGCTCCTTATGTGCACTGACCACGGAACCTTTGTTGTGGGATTTGAGCATAAAGGCATGTCTTGTTTTTCTTGCCTCTCTTGCTTATATCTCTCCTTCCCATCCCGGACAATAGGTTGAGCTACTTGGTGTCGCTTCGCCTCTGGATTATCATGTTTCTTTGCCTTTTTATCGCAGTTCTCGTTTTGGTTGTTGAATGCGATTGCGTTTTCAGTTTTTCTGTCTGCCATTTCATCGCTTTTAAAGCGCTTTGACTGCTGGTGTTGCTGTAGCTCGGGTATCTGAGACGAAGGCGGTATCTGAGACTTGGGCGGCTGCTTGCGCCTAAAGCAAATATCATCTTTCCTATATAACAGAACATAAGAGGGAACAATAAAAGATCACGCATTACTGAGCTTGCAGTTACGTCCCAGCTACTTACTCCTTGCGCAGCTGAATTATTTGTGCGTCCTTTCGCTTGATTTCCGCTTTGGCCGTGTCCAAAAGATTTTGAAAATTTACCTCCATTGTCCTGATTTTCTTGGCAAGTGTTTTTTTCTCCGCTTGTAAACTTTCAATTTCCAGCCTTGCGGCGTTGTATTTCGCCTCCCAGGCTTCCAATTCTTTGCATTTCTAGTAACGAATCCAATTAATTTCGTTCAACTCAGTGCGGAAATATACATACTTTCGTTTCAGCTTCTTGGAATTGATCCAAATCATCATAAATATCGAGTTCCTCGTCTAGCATTTTACATAAACATTCGCGAATATTTTATGAAATGCAGCAGCAGTCTTAATGCGCGAAATACGTCCAGTGTTGGCTAGTGGTTAATCGCAGAGACATTCTGTAATCAAGTCTGCGTTTATGGGTAGCACTGAAAATTGTATCAGCTGGCGTAATCAATTTGAACATTTACTTTAGTGTCATAACAAGAATTCAGTATCACAGTTAAAAACTATATTTATACGTGCACACACAATTACATATGTACATATATTGGCAATCGATGTAATGGCCGATCTGCAATCGCGCCCATATTATTACAGGCTTGAGCGCCAAAGGTTTGCTTGCGTTACATATTCGATAACAGCATGCTTTCTACTGCTCGCTCTGTTGCAATGGTATATGTTTTATTTAATGTAAGTAATTATTGCAAACATTCTTAATTATTACATTATCCATTATTTTCTATCCAGAGAGAACACGAATAAATATTTTACCAAAAATTATTGGCTTGGCATTATATTCTTCGTACTCAGCTTGCTGCTCATACTCTTATTCATATTCTTCGAAGACCTGCGCTTCTTTACGCCCGTTAATTGGATAGTTGCCATACTCATAGTAAGTTGCAATTAATTTATATACTTATCTATAGCCTATCTTATTATTTAACAGTTTGAATGCATTGTCGTGGGCGTAACCTCGTTAGTTGTGCGACATTATAAGTATCATTTGTTAATGAGTTACCTTGTATGGGCCATTGTGCTGGTAGTATTCATTTTATTGGGCTCCTTCATTCCAGTGAGCAAGTATTTAAATATCCATATCATGCATAGTATAAATTGCAGCCTTTGTAGCACGACTTAACTCTGGATATTGTGGTACTTGTTGTTTTTGGAATTATTTGCATAATTGGAGCCATGTACTTTTTAATGCTTCATGTCGTCGCAAATGTGCCATATTCATTTTTTGTATACCGGGCGCTCGTCCTTTGCAGCATCGTTACAGTATGAGTTCTTGAATTTTTAATTTGGTTATATAATAAGCGAAATTCTGCTATTTACAGTTTATAATGTATCACGCCCAAATCATCAACGGTGGACGCTTTGCTGAAATTCGTGATATGGACTATCTGTTGGCTGCGCTTATATTGTTCTACGATTTTTTGCTAATGTATTTATTAACTTTTCAATTAGCTCCAAAGTGGAGTGACGACTGCGATTCTAACAAGGATATAACAGGCAGCCTTGTATTGGATAACCATTTACTGAATCCACAACTTAATATTTCGCGACATGAGACTCATCATTTCACATGATCTGGTTTGAGTTTGCGCGCTCTGTTATGTCGATTACATACAGTTGATGGGCAGCACTTATTTAGGTGGCAGCCAACTTCACGCGTTTCGAAATTCTGGCGCGCTGCAGCTGTTTCCATTTAATGATTTGTTGTTGTTGATAGTACTGCGAATAAACTTTATTTGGCACAAAGCTGACATAAGCAATTGTTTTTTTATTTTGCAATACCACCGAACAGAGTTCAATTAAGCAAGAGCTATGGATCCAACCATATCTGTCTCGAAGGTAAGCCCCTAACATGTAGGCTTTGCATATTGACGATGTTTCCCATATTTGCTTAGGGCTGTTTTGTATACAAGAATGGCGCGACACGCGCCAATAAGAGAACGGGCAGCAAACGAAAATTCTCTGTCTCAACCACCAGTCTGCTGGGCAAGGAGTTGACCAGCCAACCTTTCTATGCTGCCTACTCTGAGTGCTGGAACCAATTCCATAGTCACATAGTGCAGCTGCAAATGGCGAGCAATGCACGGACGCTTGAGGAACTGGTGGATTTTGTGACTGGAGAGCGGACTGACAATATGGACAGTTGTGAAGTGCTGCCCACTGCGGCGCTGCTGACAGGCATTAACCAGCCCGATCACTTGAAGCAATTCGAGACGCTCACGCAGCGTCTTCATACTCAGAAGGCTGCTCGGGTCTGTGTGCTCCAATCACGAGATTGCACCACTTTGAAAGCGGCGGTGGAGTCCATGGTATACAATCTAATCGACGACCAGTCTGAGCCCGTGAATCTAGATGAAGGGGATGAAGATGAGGGACGTGAGCGGGATCGCAAACGTCTGCGTCGCACGCAGTGCACCATGAAGCATCTGCATTCATGGCATGCAAATAACTATGCTGGCGGGGATAAGCAAATAGCCTTGGTTGTTATTTTGCCGGATTTCGAGTGCTTCAATGCGAGCGTTCTTCAAGACTTCATTCTGATACTCAGCGCTCAATGCGGACGTCTGCCCTTCGTTCTAGTGCTAGGAGTAGCCACCGCTATGACAGCGGTGCACAGCACATTGCCCTACCACGTGAGCAGTAAGATCAAGCTGCGAGTATTTCAGACCCAGGCTGCACCTACGGGGCTGAATGAGGTACAGTTCAGAGATTTCCCGTCAGCTATTAACGTCACTTACGTATGTTCACTTATATTCCAGCTGCTCGACCAGGTGCTCCTCTCGCCGAAGTATGTGTTTCATTTGTCCGGCAAAGCGTTTAAGTTTCTAACGCACATCTTCCTCTATTACGACTTCTCTATACACGGCTTCATACAGGGCTTCAAGTACTGCCTCATGGAGCACTACTTTGCTGGCAATGCCTACGCCTTATGCGCCAGCTATAGCCAAGCTCTGGTTCGCATTAAGCAGCTAACACATGAGGACATGGAGACCATTCGACGGCTGCCCTCTTTTCGCCCCTATGTAGAGCAGATCAATGATTGCAAACGCATTATAGCCGTGCTCACCGATGACGATTACTTGAAGAAGAAGCTGCCGCAGCTTCTTCGCGATTGCCTGCTGCACTTTATGCTCTTCCGCTGCTGCTTGGAGTTCTTCACGGAACTTGTGGGCGATTTGCCACGCTGTCCGCTGGGCAGGCTTCGGCGAGAGCTCTACGTGAACTGCTTAAGCAAACCCATCAGCGAGCAGCCAGAGTACAAGGAATGTTGGCAGATGCTCAGCTTTATGTCCAAGGCCGAATTCGTGGCAAAATTAGGCAAGTGTATTACGCGCACTGAACTCTTCCTCAGCGAGCAGATAGCTCCTCTAGAGTTGGGCGATGCGTGCTCGGACTTGATGCGCGCTAAGCTTCAAGCACTCAAGCAATTGCTCGATGATGTCGAGCTGGCAACCATGGAGCTGCAAACAGCCGCCACAGAAGCCGATTCGCTTACAACCGAAGCTCCATTGAGCGACCTCACGCAGGTTGCCTCCCGCCAGGAGCTGAAGGCGCAGCTGCTCTTGCGCAGCAAACAGGACAAACAGCATACCACGTCGGAGTTTAGCCGAGCTCTCAATAAGATTTTGGCTCTCATTGAGTCGGATTTGGTGCTTGCCTATCTTCGTCCACTGCAGCAGGCACCGCCGCTCCACGAAATCTACGTCTTCAGTGATATTGCGACTGTGCGTCGTAATATTATTGGAGCCCCTCGTGCCGCACTGCACACGGCTCTTAATAATCCGCATTTCTATATGCAATGCAAATGCTGCGAGCTGCAGGAGCAGTCGCAGCTGGCCAGCACCATGCCTGACCTGTCGGTGGTCTACAAATTGCACTTGGAGTGCGGTCGCATGATTAATCTGTTCGACTGGCTGCAGGCGTTCCGTGCCGTTCTGCGGACTGGCGACGAACAAGAAGAGAACGAAATGCCCCTGGACCAGATCGATCCACAGATTCAGTGAGTATATCAAATGAGTATAAAAAGTATGCCCAAATATTTACAATTTGATCGCCTTCCTTTCCTCAGAGCTCGCTTTACTCGCGCTGTGGCCGAACTGCAATTTCTGGGCTACATTAAAATGTCAAAGCGGAAGACGGATCACGCCACACGTCTCACCTGGTAGAATATACAATATCCATAGCTGTAAATTATACATGTGCATACCACATACATCCTGCATAACCAGATCTTTTTATTGCCATTTACATTCGAAACCAATCAGATTGTCCTTCAGAGATCTGGTTGGTATGCTCAAAATAAAACACGGGTTGTTTATTTATTGATTTAAATTATTAAATAAAAAATTAAATGTACAAACAAGTATAATAAATGTCGGAATTTGCATGACGTCACATTGTAATCTTATCAGTGTAACAGAGAAAGTACATTAGTCGGCATAAGTATTTTGACGAAACCGTGCTGTGACTATTAAGGCTGGCATTGCTTAGTACCGTTACATAATTGAGCGTAAAATGCGAGCAAAGCAAAGATTCTATTAAATATTGCTTTTTACCTATTCCTTTCTCTTGCTACTAAGAAGAATGCATGCGTGACATAATTATTTTCACGAAAGTCAAATGAGTATATTGGTTTTGTGCAATGTCCGTCTGTCTGTGTGAACGGTGTATTTGTATATACTGCGACTGAGCTGCCAATACCAAAAAGCGTTGACGGATATATGTCCGCCCACAAAGTGGGCGTGGCGAATCAGGGATTAGAGCTAAACTTAGCTAAAATTGCTTATGGAATTTGAATGAGTATGAGTAGGTGAGTTCATACAAACATAACTGCAAAATTTGGATACTTATGCTCAAAAAATGTAAAATTTTCGATATCATCGAGAGAGGAGGTTACTAGTAATTTAACTATCCAAATTTGAAGACTCTAGCTATTATACTTTAGTATATACAAACCCTTGCGGTTTGCCACGCCCTAGTACGTAATTTATTCATTAATCTTAATTTTTCGTTCCAATTTTACTATATGTTCTGCCGAAACAAGAACGCTAATCTTAATTATATTCTCTTAATTATACTATCGGATCATAACATTAGTTCCAGCTGTAAAACTCTTGGAGATACAGTTTTATCCGATTTGCCATACATACAAATGGGCGTAGATATATCCGCCATAGCTGATCTTGGTGATCTTAGGTAGCTATAAGCGTTAGGCGATGGCTGTAAAGGTGGGGATAAAGTATAAAAAAATATAAGTTATAAAAATTATAATAAAATATAATCTAGCTTTAAAGATGTGCAGATATAGATATATTACTAAACTTCAATCATTTAGATAAACTCAATGTCCGCGCTATATATACGTACAGTTATTTTTAAAAAGTTCAATTCTCTAGATCTTATTTCTTCTGAGATCGACGCGTCAAGACATACGGACAGTTCTAAATCAAGTAAGTCGCCTTGATCAAGAATATACATACTTTGTGGAGTCTCCCACGCCTTTTTCTGCCTGTTACATACACTTGAGCAAAACCATTACAAACCAACCATTATAACCATTATAAACCAAGTGTTTACGAAAGAATCCCGCCGTGGTAAATATGTCATGAAGCATATTGTTAAATAACCAAATTTTAAAATATTATAAACTTGTTTATATTAATTGAGGTATCAAAAGACTTTTGAAGTGCTTGGGTACTCAGCATAAGTAAATTAGTGGAGGAGTTTTACGGAAGACTTCATTTAAGGAAAATCCTTTTAATCCATATTTGAATTCATCTCTTGAATAACTTAAGCCTCGAAGTGGGCTCCACTAAAAGCCTGGGCATTTGAGTCCATTTGATATCATTTGCCGGATTGATATCAACTACGTCACCGAATAACGTATTATTTGAATTAGGGTTAACTGCGCTATCTCTGAGGACTAACCTCAAACTTGTCTATTAATAGACTGGAAGACAGTAGCACTAGCCTAACCAATACTATGCGGCTACACTATACGGCCACACACACTCTACGGCCGCAGCCGCCGCACACGTAATCAAATTGAACATATGCCCCTAATGCGCTTATGTTTGCTTAAATCTCTGACAGACGCACTCTGCTTCTGTGTTTGCTGGAGTATTTACCACAAATTATTTGAAATATGGTGCAAGTGCGGCATCAAGGAAAACGCTGCCCACTTTGTCATATGGGGTATTCCCACTCTCCTTTCGGGTTGCTTCGTTCCGTTCCATTTCAACTATCCGTATATATGGGCCACCCAGTTTCTGGGAGCCAAGCAAATGGTATAAAATGTGCCGCAGTCCGATAAAGTGTCACAGTTTCTCTCTACATCCCGCTGTGGATTGTGCTGCGCTGCATTGAGATATCCAGATACTTAAAGGACTGAGCTTTCGTCGACCATGTATATACTAGCTCCATTGGGGAAAAAGGGAGTGGCCTTTCTTCTGTTGTTGTTGGCCAGCTCTATGGGCACCATTGGTGGTGCACCACTCGAGGTAAGTCTCGACTTTAACTGGAAGTTTGACTGGTGGTTAGATAAAATGCTTGTCTAATAGGCCCCGGAGGTATGTCTCTTCCAATCTGGATCAATGGAATGCTCACCGGGTAAATTTATGTAATACCTAATCTGATATCTAATTATAGGCATAGATTAGTGTGGCTCCTCTTCATTGAAATACGTTGTAGATATTATATTATTTTGCTTTATAACTTGCATAAGCTCATATCACAATAATTTCCAATTTTT